TTTGTGCGACTGAATCCGTGTAGATTGGTAAGCGTTTGTAGGGGTTAATAACGACACAGAACAAGCCCGAATATGTCTGAAATATTGCTTTTATTATTGATGTATTAAGTGGTAACCGCTTTTGACACTGAAATCGTAGTGTTCCAAAAAGAAATCCACTCTTATCGACAAAAACTGACGTAAATAAGCATAGCTGAATATCGGGCTCGAAGATTGTGAAGCACAGAAGCGTCGTTCAGGAATGTCAGATTTGACATGTCTTCAGTCTTCTCGAATTTCGGTGGGTTCATCTCTTGCGTTATGTCCTTTTTCAAGGTTTGCTGAAATAATGTGAATGAATAAAAATTCTGTTTTGGTAATAACCGTTCTTCAGAGCATTGAAATGTTTCTTTCAATTGCCCAAACAAAATAATATTACCACATTCATGTATTTTTCAATAGTTTTTGTCGAAAATAATTTCAATAACAGTTCGGTGTTATTCGTCGAAATGTTCCAATTCCCAAAAATTTGTCATGCAAACTAAAATTAGTTCCATCATATGTTCATATGTGTGTCCCCACCTCATTTCCCTTCGCAGTAACCACTGTAACATTATCTCCTTTTGTGCTCGTAATTTCAGCAGCCACATAACCTTCTTCTGCATCTGGAACCCAACAGTTTTTCTTTGAATCGTACGGCTTAGATTGATCCTGAAAATGTTCTCACTTGAAGGTTGCTGACGATCTCTCTGCTAGGTGTCATTCGGATAAGTTGTGCCTAAATTCTGACGATCGCTCAAGTCAAAAATTCACACAAATAAAATAAATCAATAAAAAATGTCGATGTGATCTGCAGTGCGATTGGTGAATAGCATTATTTCATTTCACTTCTAACTAGAGTCGGATGGATCTTTTACTCCATGTGAATGCATCAATGAAGTTGGCGATTGCCAGGCTTTCAAAGTGCACGAATGTAACTCACAGCGGCCATTTGTTCCCTGGATCGGCGAAGATACTGCCATCCGGGATCTTTCTCGTGTTCCATATCGAACGCCATCTTGAGGGGTTACGAGCACAAAGTCACGAGCACCACCTGAATTCATTTCCGTTCGAGATGAAACGGCAGAACATTTCGCATAAACGTTCACGTTAGAATTCACAACGGAGTGTTGTCGAAAGTGCGTTTGCGTAGGTGTTCTGTGCAATACACTTTAAACTTTACGCAAATCGCTACAAACTCTTCTACGAACTCATTATCAACTCAACATCTCTCAAACGAATACAACTTCATCAGTGTTTTATTCTCATCCGATATCATTTATTCAGGTTGACCATCTCATGAATCTCTAACCGCATCTTTATGGATTTGAATTTGCCTATGAGCATGACATTCATTGGCATTTCACCACCACTTCAAAGTTCGACGTTACTAATTAGGCGCTTCCTATAGTCAATAAATAAAATGATCGACCTGCTGCATGAATTGATCGAAAATGTGAATGATGCTAGTTTGATTCAGTCTCAATTACAGGGTAAATGAATCTTTAACTATGCGATCTCGAATAAAAACCTGACATAACAATCCATAGAATGACTGAGGAAGCAAATAATATATTCGCAATAGGATCAACGATAATTAAGGCGAAATTGAGAATAGTTCCAATAATGATCATATAAGTTCACTTATTGAAGCTTCGGAACATATAAGTTCAATCATTGTGCCATAAATAAGGGTTAAGATTCCTTGAGAGCTAACGCAGCACATCACGGTGCAGACAACGAACGACGAATGCAGAATGCTCGAGTGATGGCGAATGGATGATGGTTGGTTGATGGGATGGATAAAATAGCAACTGAAATGAGACTGAGACTGAACCGGCAGTCGTGGATAACAGCTGTGCTGATCCGATAAGTATCCGTCCGAATGATGAGGTACGGCTTAAAATATCCACCCGATCGAGATGATCCAATAACCTTCGCGTAGAGATAGCAAGATTTGTGGAAATGTCAAAGAAGACGGATGAAATCGTTCGGAAATGCATATGCAGTGGATCTATTACAACGTGATGAAACTGGCAAGTGAGCATCTCTTAAATATCGCTGTTTATCCCCCTCATATGCGTTACCGCCATATGAGATTCTTTTGAGATGCATTCATTGATTCCACTAAAACCATTCAACATATCCCTTTTGATCCTAAACATTGAAACGTACGGACAGACAGATAAATTAGTGCAATTTAGAGAGCATTATAAAGTTAAAGATAGAGATAAACAAAAGGTAAACAGGTGAATGGATAACATTGTATTATTGCCTTGAGGCATAGGTACGAGTGCGATAACAACGATAGGAACATATCATCGAAATAGCACCAACTATCTCTTCTTGAACAACAAAAAGTATTCGCAATATCACCTTTGAGTTGAGCATTCAGCTTCATGCTGAATTTTTATCTCTCTGACTTTTTAACTTTGCAATTTCAACGCATAAATACATGCCCACACGTAAACGATAGCACATAAATGATGGATGATTCTGATCGATTAATTTTGATTGATGAACATTCGCGTGCAAAAATTTGCATCAGTTGGATGTTTTATTTGCATGGGTGTACCTTCGACTCATGTAGGTATGTTCAACGCTTTTCTGAAATTAGACTGAGTGGTGTTTTCATCGGGACTTCTAATCATAGACGTGAGGTTTTTTTCAACGGGAATTATTCTGAGCATTATGAAGGGAGAGTGTAATAAGACGGGTTTTGATCCATCAACAGCACTTTCACTGACTGTGAATCGAAGCATATTCCCCATCAAGTTCAATTCAATGTTCTATAACACAGAAATATTTTAGTTGTTTCTTGCAACTTTACTAGTGTGAGCTTGATAATATCTTAGTTGTTGTCGAATATGAATCGATAAACTGTACCCATAACTGTCTTCCCCTTCCTTGAACACGAATGGTACAATTTCTAATTGAGTTTGAACTCAGAATCGTAGCAAAATGGGGTGATCGGGTTTTATTCGGTCTGGAAAATGGTACTTTTTGGTAAATAAGTGGCAGATGAACTGTACTATCCCAGAGATTCAGTATAATCAAAGTTGTACGGGCAACAATGGAGTATACAATGATTTAGGAATTGTTTACTTGTAAGTGCTAGTTGGTAAGAAGTAATTACGTCAGATCAACTAGTAATTGACATTCGATCGTAGCTGACTATTATTAGGTCGTGATGTGCTTCAGGACATCGTAAGGAAGATGAACCTCAACAGGCGGTCGTATGCTTATTGACTGGTTTTATTGCTTAAATAGGTCAGTTTTGTAAAAGTCCAACTGAACTTCTCCATCCTGTCACTAAAAATTTGAATTCTGCGAAATTTGACATCCGTTTCCGACAGAGCTTACATCGAAATTGAAATGACCTGGAATGAAATTAATTAGGACAATAAAGGGGATACGTAGTTGGTTTGAGGAACTGTTCTAATTCATATATCTAATACCTATTTTATTACTGTTCATATTTATCATATTGATACGAAAGCAATAACTGTTGATTTGTTTGCTTTGAAAGTGATTCCAGTTTTCTCTGAACACGGAATAAATTCTGCAATACGTCCATTTAGAATCTTTCAACTGGCAGCGAGTTTTGCTGTCCAATCCATCGACGACGCAACGTTCAACGTGATATAAATGCATTTTCAGTGCATCATTCTAAGCGCTATCACCAAAGAATGCAATGTGTTTGTAACTTTATCGTTACTTCAAGTTTTCCCTGCTTCTCAAACCTCAAAGTTTTTCCTGAACATCGCTTTCCTGTCCAAGAAACTGGTCATACGTGTGCATGATCTGATAAGATCTTGTTGCAATGGTAATATTATGAATCTGTGCAGCAAACATATCTCGACTGCTGACCAGGTAAGAAATCTCATAAATTGGTTAGCTGATTAATTGTTAATTGTTTGCCTTGAATGGCTGATTGATGGCTGACTGTTTCACTTGAATAGCTGATTAATTGTTAATTGTTCATTTCAGTTGAGTTGATCTTTCGTCATGTCGATCACTATTCGGTATGTACATGAACTGATAATAAATTAGTGTCGATAATAAATTTTTTAAATATATCATTTCAGTTATATCTGTTTACATCTCGATGATGAGTCTTTTTGATGAAGCCATTTGTGGTTTGATCCGCAACAAATCATTATTGCTGGCATAGTTTTTCTGAAAAAAAAATCATGCGTAGTGTAATTCGTCGTACTGAGGAAATTGATGTGGCTTGAACGTACGAAGAGCGTAGATGAGATGAAGGCTGAAGTTTTTCCTCATATGCAGTTGGAGGAATGCATTAAATTTTGTCATAAAAAATCAGTTACATCTCACGTTAAATAACTCACATTCCTACATAAACATACATTACGTTCGAATGAACAACGAGCAAATGAACAGTTGTTCGTAACGTGTGATGAATTTGAAAAAAGACATCAACGCAGCAAAATCTTTTCTCAGTACGCTAAGAATAACAGAGAAGCTCAGGATAAGGGGATCAATTCTTATGTTACTGAATGCGGGATCATATCATGCAGTCAATTATGAATTTTGGAACTGAAATGGTGCATCCTTAAGAATTAGCAAATTCAGTATGTCAGAATATTGACTTTTAATTTGAAAGATTCTCAGCTGCATTTGCATGCCGTGACGTTATCATCTCTGCAACAACATCTCATTGTCAGATGGCAATGGGACTGATTGTAAATAATCTAAAGTCACTGCATTGATGATTTGATTTTCCTTATCAAATCATTTGGAATGAATATTGATAATCGAAATCACATTTTTATTTGAATAAATTTGTTGAAATTGATCGTTTTAAGCTGTAAGATAACGGTACATATGTTGTGTAATAAACATTATTTGCTGATGCTTTGCATTGTTTGTTTCACCGGTTTCGTTTCCTTACACTGTTTCCGACCAAACATTCAAAGTGTGACAGGCATTTCTCTCATTCAATTTTCACTCAGCGTTATCAACAAATATCTGTTCTCACATAAATTGGTATGCACGGATGAAATCACATGTGCTCGTTATGGAGGATCATACCAAACGAAACCTCAAAGTAGTAACAGCTTTCCTTGATAAGCAGAGGAGAAAATTTGACTCGGAAAATTCAACTCATCAGCCAGAACAAAACCAGTGCTTTCTAACTTCCCTCAGGAATCGCTGACTTCAAATTAAAATTTTGATTCTTGTCCTTTTCAATTCCATTTCAGTTTCACTTCCATTCGTATAAGAGTCACTTTCTCACTGAATACGGTTGAGTGGCAACCTTTAGGTGTTTCTTATGGATATTTACAAATGTGCCTCAGCGAACTCCTTTCCGTGCTCCACTTCGTATTGTTTCTGGTGTTTTACCTCGACGAAACATAACCATTTCTGAATGAATTGTAGCATCTCTGCTCNTGTGCATATATTATCATCCTTATCATCAAAATAACAACAACCATCGCTTCACAACTGTACTCCATCCCATTTTGTTTTCGATTCGTCTATCATTCGATTCGTACTATTTCATTAGTATATTATCTTCTGCTAAATGCTGAAGATTTAGGTATGAGAGTGAGAGAGAGCCTCACAGAGCAGAATGAGTTGGGCAGATAAAGCTGACAAGGTGGTAAAAGAACGAGAGAATCGAGATGTTCAGTGCAATCGAGAATGGCTGAGAAAGAAGTTGAAAATTCACAGCTTAATTCAACGAATCAACAACACACCTTTGACTGATTGTAACTAGGCTTAACTAGCTAAACTAAGACTGATACTACAACAAAAGAGACATGCTGCAAACAAATCAAACTGAAACTTAAATTAAAAACAACATCTCGATCGATTCTTCTCCCCTAACACACAGCAGTTGCAATCGACAGTTGCTGTGCGTTGTTTTCAGAGTCAGGAATAACATTCTAGTAATAGTCGTTAGAGATCACAACCTTCTTGCAGAACTGAAGGCTTTAGCTGTTGGTTTTACACCCACACACACACACAATGCAAGCAGGGCAAGAAAACGAGTATAATGTGCCAGAGGGTATAAAATACTGACCAAATAATACGCATTCATAATCGCCTGTCTATGCATGAAGTTCAAGCTGGAAGCTGAAACAAGCACATTCCTGAACAATTTCTCAACCTTCGCGAGGTTTGACAGCTTATTGAAGTTCTTCTGCCGGCTAAACTGATTGTGAAATGATCCGCAATTAAGTCAGCAAAAAACCTTATGACAATAAAAAAATAGTATATAAACTACGAAGTATTTTGAATGTTTAACGCCATACAGTACAACTTAATAACTCATGTTTTATCAGTTTGAATCGCAATTATGGAACTGTGCAATCCAGTTTTTTCCCTAATTGTGTTAGGTCACTGATGTAGCTGAAAATTTGAGGAGGAAAGATAGAATGGAATCAGAAAACCTCATGACATTGGAAAGAGGTTCAGTGCAATAATGACCAGTGAGCACATGACCTGGAATATCGCAAAGAAATGAACTATGCTCATGGAAACAGCAGCATAGTCATACACAACGAGTCACTTTTATCATCAAAATGTTATGATTTCTGCCTCGGAATTCTACCCAGTTGCTAATTTCTGTCGAGCTTGGCAATTTCACTAAATTCATGCGACACTCACTGTTTCCAACGATTTTCGTGTAATACGAAATATTCATCATATCCTTTCGAGGATTTAGAAGAGCATTGAGAAGAGAGCGAGGGANGAATACGTCGATCAAAAATCATGAAACATCAACGTTCCACTTTTGAGGATCTCTGCTAGGGTAGGCGATCTCAGGCTCACTTAAGCAACTGTGGAAAATGAACATGTTCATAGTTATTATGTGCAAGAGCCTTGAAAAACGCTGCACAGTTTCCAAAATGACAAAATTTCACCATATTCTCTCTCAAGAATCATGATTCGTCGTCACTGGACGAATTCATTTGAACTCTGAATGATGTTAATCGTGCTGAGTTCAAAATATTTGCAGTTGAATGTTCCTGCTGCCTCCTCGAAGAAGATTAAAAATAAACAACTATTAATTCCATGAATCTAAATTCTATGACTAACAAAAAACAAATTACCCAAATAATAATCAGTTGACGAGTGCATATGGATGTACTTTACCATATGAAATCATTTCAATCCAACTATTATACAGCCAATGAGAACGTCATAATAAAACGAGCAAATTGTATTTACTGAAAACATTTTTTTGGAGCGAAACTATCGTCGAATTGAAATCGTTTGATTTCATCAAAACATTCACCTTACCATCAAAATCTGTGCACTTCCATTCTCTAACTTTACCTATTCCATCACTCACATATCCCAACATTCACCGCAGTTTCAGCTATCAAGAATACCACTTTCTTTGTGAAATCAGTTATACCATATGATGTGGATCTCACTGAAGTATGTATTAAATGAATCTATTCAATTGATTCTAATTGATCTGAAATCTCGCCGACTCTGTCCAATTATTTTTTCTAAATTTCCAGCCTTAAAAGGCAGCAAGCAACAATGCAATGAAATTTTCCATTTTATGTTTCTCATGTTGAATTGTTCCTGGCTGCTGATATCATTCGATTGATCGCAAGCTGAACGATCTTGGATTTGCTTACTTTCTATGGCCTATTGCAACTTACACATAGACGTCTGCTCTGAGAGTTGGAAGTTTAATCTTTTGTCGTTTACATTTTCATGCCTGCACGCTTCTCGAACACTTGAAAACTGTGAAAAGCGAGAAGGTATAATCCTCCATCTGTATCATCCTTCTCCAAACAATTCAGACTCAACTTTCGTGCAAATCTTTTCTGATCGTTGAAATAGTAATCGTATAAATAACGGCCGAGCACGATGGTCCAGAGCACTCGCCAAACAGTCAACCGACCAGTTCAACACTTCAATTAGTCATTCGTTTAAGTCTATGGCCTCTTTCCCCTCTTGTTTTCAGTTCATTTTTCTCTTCTGTGCGAATCATAATCCTCAGGTAAACAGAGCATACGAAAATGTTGTACACAGACTGATGTATCTGATGAGTGCGTTTGTTTATATATGTTCACAAACACCGATACATGTTCATGTACCGAAAACATTAATCTTCTTTTTTTGTTCGAATTCTCATATGATTGTTATAGTCATGCATGACTGACAATGTGTTCATGGGCGGACCCCGTTGCACGAGCCTCCGAATGAACAATCACTGTACACTCTTCAAAAAGTACAAGTAGTACTTGGAAAGGATTCGTTTCCTCAGTGGTCTCACGTCCACACTCAGACAACAACTCGCATTCAGTCGTTCGTCGTACGTCCCACCTCACCGCCATCGTTCTCAGCTTGTTCGACCATCATTAGCTATCTACAACATGCCACCAACAAGTTGGTTCCAGTTTATGTGCTGCTCTCTCGGGAACGTTTTTGTAATGATTCTTTCAAGAACCAGCTTCTGTATTGAGCTTCGGAGCATATGCTAATCTTAACATTAGGCTCAGGATGTATTCACCTTGCTGAAAGTAGGGATAAGGCATAGGTTCATTTGATAAGAACAGCCCTATCTAATGATGGACGCAAAAAATATGACGATTCATGGAGATCCCGATAAATTTGGGTAACTAAAGGCAACTTTGAAATCGATTTGCATTCCTCCAATTCGTGTTTCCAAATAATCCATAATGAGTGTATACGTTCAACGTCGTTGATCAGTGTGATTTCACAACTTTTGAAGGCAATGAGCAACTAGATACATCAATTAATGAAGAAATGGATCGACTTGGAACGCTCACGCTATCGGATTATGGAATTCGAAATCAAGATGTGCATTACCTTTACGTGGATTCTGTTTTATCCGGTCGTGGTCCTGACCGACTCAAATTTCTCGAAATAGAAGGTTTTGTGTTCGTTAATGAATGTTTGAATGTTTTAGATGATCACTAGGTTTGGTTTTGAGTTTGGTTCTCTTACAATTATAGTACCATCCATAATAATTAACAGTCGATCCTGCTCGTTTCATTGAATGAGTAATGGATATTTCAAAAAAGTATGTCTATTCATAATTGAAAGTACTTGAATGATTCAAAGTTGAAGATGAAAATGGAGCTTTTTTTCGCAGATGATGAATGCACGCGACATTAACAATTAAAAGTTGCATAATTTGGAAGTGAATAAGCGTCATAATTGAGGGTAAAAAGACAGAAAAATTGCTCTAAAAGGCAAAAAATTGTCGAACGAAATGGGAAATGCAAGATACATTAATGAAATGGAAATGGACCTCCTTAATTGACAATAATTGATGTTTCACGAATGAATAAATCTATTCAAATTCCGATGATAGCTTTTCGCCATACGAACCAAAGAGCATTTTAAAAGGCTGCTAAAACATTTTGAAACGTAAGCATTCAGCTATTACCCGATTAATGATCGTTTTCATACGCACATGAAATCAGTAATCGACTTTCAGGCAAGTGGAAGCTAAGCAATCGTAGTACACCGTACATAAACGCGGCGTTCAAGCACCTCGAACGTCTGAATGATGCAAAAGGAGCACTACGAGTAGGTTTTGTGCGGAATTGTTGTTCAGAGTTGGTGCGAAAGATGTGGACAGTTCATAACTGACCATCATGTTTCTTGATAGTCAATAACTAACAAGGAGCAAGAGAGTGAAGATGTTTGCTGATAGCTAAAATTAAAAAAGAACTAAGAAAAGAGACACCGCACTGGAATGGTCAAGCAAATTAATTCACTTCGGTTGTTTTGGAAGTTGACATCGGAGGCGATCAGATTGTGTTTGTGTGACTCACTCGAATCCATTTCGAGCGATACAATTGACCTTTTCTTCAATCACTCAGCAGGTGTTCACTGATGAACCGTTGAACGCTATTGGCATGATGGGATGGACTCCATCGCCACCCGTTCCAAACAAACACCGAAAATCCCAAGTCACCGTCCAGCCAGATGCTGAATTCAAGGAGCAGTTAGCACCGTCACCTCGCCAGCCAGTTCCTCACCGATCTGCTGGATACGGTAACCTCTCAACTGCAACCTCTGAACTGCTTCATAGAACTACTTTTGAAGTGCTGTTTGAATCTGCTCGTAGAGCCGCTGAAGTTTCGAAACGTAATTTAGGTGATGAGTAATGGTTGCAAATAGTATCTGATGAACTTGAGTAAATTTAGAAATAACATTGAATTTAGTCAACGCTTGAGAATACTTATGTTTAAAACGATTTGTTTACGTCTTTGTATTTCTATTCTAATGCAGACCAATTTTTGGGTTTGCGCTCAATTGAATAACTCCTTTTCTGCTCAAGGTCAAAAGCTTTAAACCGAATATCATATTGTCTTTTATTATTTCATTCGAAATTTCAAAAAACCCATTGTAATGCTAAAGATAAGCTGAATTTTGCGACCTTTACATCATTTTATATTTGTAAACATTGACAAATTTCGGTTCTCCATGAAAGTTTTGCATAGTAAAAGGGATTTCATCTCCTTTGAAAGTACGATTCAGAATGGAATACGAAATAAAAGTTCGAAACCTGTCGCCGCATTATCTTTGCCACTCTGTGAAACACATTTCCATCTCCAATTTCCAGGCCCAGCACATCAAAAACGTAAGCTCAACGTTTCAGAACATACCACCAATTCACCTCCAGAGAGTGGCGAAACACCGATTCTGATCACAGATTACGATAAATACGCGAAATATCTAACTAAGGGTATGCAACTCCATTCTTTTCGAGTATGGTTTGTCGATAATTCCGAACGATCAAAACAAGTCTATCAAACATTTGAGCTGATTTCGAAGAAATCATCATGAGAATGTTCTCGTTGCAGATTCATCGTTGAAAAGCAGTGCAAAAGGCGATCTGGGTTATTCGTCGTCTGAAGAAAGGAACAGCTTAGAGAGTCCATCGCCAAAAAGCGACAAAATTGCAGCCATTGTGCCTAATTCCGATGATGAAAAAGTACACCAACAGAAGTCTCAATCACCGAAACTCTCTTCATCGGCTCGTCGCCGATCAAAACTGAACAGTTCGACGATAGCTCGTTACGAACCGACGTACGTTAACCGTGGTGCGTTCTCGTGTGTTTCGTTCTCTGTTGTTTGCTGAAAACCAAGCTGCGTAACTAGATTCTCATATGAAGAACTGAGCGATTAAACTGCATCGTTTCCGAGGATTACTTATGCGCATAACACTTGTTCTGACGAATCAATTTGTTTCATCGAGATAGTTACCTGCACTATGATTGGTTTCTTATTTGGAGAATCATTTTTAACTAGTGAATCTTTAGATCGCCTTTCATTGTGAATTTGCTTGCAGATCGTCACTACGGAGACGATTTAACAATTAGCGTCAAGGAGACAACCAAGCAGTTGCCGTATCGTTCCGGCGGCTACGGGTCGCCTCATTTGCATCGACAGTATGATCTGAGTCCACGATCAGTTGAATATTCCAGCGAGTAGGTCTTTGTGGGTAGCAATGTTCCACGCTCCAATTTCAGGTGTCAAGGCAATTTCATAAAATCCGTCAAAAAGCTCTTCTGAACGACAGCAGTCAATTTCATCTTCAGTCGTATCGCGTTGATCAAACAGACCATCGAAATTAGTTCAATTCATGAAATGATGATTCCGACTTTCTGAATGCTTGATACACGCTCAAATATAAAATAAAGCAGTTCACTGTCATGAAATATAAGCACTCTTTTGATATGCAATTATGTGCACCTCAAAGTAAATGAATGCACTACTCATGGTTTCGTTAACAATAAATCACAAAGATTTTCATTATTGCATTACGATTAAGATAAGAGCAATACGAATATAATTTCGACTCTCTCATCAGAATGAACTTAATGAACGACGATTCTCAAATGGAAATTGATAAGTTGCAGTAGATAAGGATGGAAAGCGGTTATCAGACGACTACCATCCTCTAATTCACTCATTTCAGACCTGAACAACCCTCGCCACCACATTCGCGTAACATCGATGATATTCTTGTTACAACGTATCACATGACGAAGACAACACGTCGAGAACGTGCGCCTCCGAATGCATCTTCAACTGCTCGTTGAAGCAAATCACGTCTCCGAGGCTCTTCTCTCGGTCACAATGATTTCTCCAAATAACCTTTCCAACTTGAGCAAACACTGCCTTTGAATGACATTCAAAACACACCTTTAGCACGATGTAAATAGTCGGTCGAAATTTCATTTCTTTTGGCATGCGTATGATTCAAACGTTCAACGAGTATTATCACTAATAATATGTGCTTTTTTGAATACTGCCTTTATTCGGCATTCATTTTATTACAATAGAGGATTTCAGCGATGATCTATCTGATAGTGAGATCTTTTCCAACTCCAATTTCAAAACACTTTTCAAATGTATTCAATTGGATTCTATGAAGAGATTCAAAAGAAAGAGCTTTTCAAGAGTTTTTCTAAAACATATTGAATAAAAATGGTTCAATTCAGCAAGAAATAATTGTGTCAAAATAATCATGACGATTCATCCGAATAATTGATTTGGTTTTGATCATGATAATCATCAATCAACACATTAAGGTTCAAGCCATGTCAACGTTTATCGTTTCGCTGATTTTCTGCAGCCTATCAAGCATTAGCTGATCTTCCATTTATTGGCCCTTTTATGTTCAATATTTTGATAATTCCTTTATTGGTTTCTTAAGCATAAACTTATTCATGAATACTTGATGCTTGTTCACATCGAAGACATTCTTATTGTAAATAAAGGAATCGCATTATAGTCAACGGAATTTATAATCTTTGATTAGAGTAAACACATCTTACATAACAGAAATAAGCGATTGAATTCCACGATATAGGGCAGCATCAAAATGAACTGAAATCTCGTTGGATAATCATGAATTTCGTTTGATCATCGTGATTTGAGCAATTTTGAGTGTGCTGAATTCAGTCCGACTTTTGTATTGTACTAACGCTGATTACTTGTTTCTCGAAGAATTCAATTCTGATTTTGAGAAAGTTTCAATGCAAATAACAACAACATCGACGATCAATAGTATTTACTGTTGCAAATATAAACGAAAGTAGTTTAAACTGAACGAATAATCACAAAAACAAACTATACAAAGAAATTGGAAAGAAAAAATTGAGAAATAATTCGGTAAGCACACAGAAGACGTCAAGTAATTTCTGTCATTCTCAAACTGAAAAAAAAGCTTTCACTCTTGGAGTAAGTGTTCGTTTTACTTCGCGTTTACAGAAAGGATTATCTGAAAGTGCTTGTGACGAAAATAACAGGATGTTCTGAGCATAAGAAGATGGAGGTAACATAAGAAAGAAACAACATCGATTTCATAATCCAATTTCAAAAAGAGAGGGCAATTTTACTCGAACAAGTCGATAGAAATATAAGTTTGTTGGGGGATTCGATTCATCTGACAACACCGAATCGAATGAGAGTAAAAAGGTGGCTACAAGAACCATTGCCTTAATCATTACAAAAATGAGGCTTTGAACTTCAGGTCTCTGTTTAATTCACCCAGAAATGGTTCGTCCCATTTGAATCAGCTCAGCGAGTTGTTGAGAAGAATGCCTGGCTTGCTTTTACTTTAAATAACTGGCGACTTGAGTCCTGTTGAAGTGAGTAGTAGTAATGATTCATTTAGGTTCTTTTCTGAGCTTATTCATTACCTACATTCGAAAAGCAGAAGTCTTATCTATTGGGTCACAGGCGTTTTCATCAACGAGCGATTTCGAGCACACTTGTTACACAATCCCTTCAGAAATAATTGTGAGTTTACGAGCAGTGCTTGCGTGATTAAAGAGTGCGTCGGGATTCTGAGATGTTTGACGACGAATCGAGTTTGTTTGGATCGGACGAGGAGGACGAGGAGAAGAAGAAGGAGGGTAATGACGACAAGAAGTTCTTATTTCGTCGTGAACTTCGGACAATGCTGTACGGATTTGGTGATGATAAGGTAACGTTTCGTCAATTTTCAGGGCAACTCTCTGTCATTAAATGCGTCTTTGAACATGAGCCGTATTTACCTTCAGACAGTCAAAAATTCTCTCCAAAACCAGCCCTTTACTTGATGCATTCAAAATCTCAGGTTCCGTACGATAAAACAGTGGAATTGCTCGAGTACATAGTTGTGGATTACGTGCGTGAACTGTGCCAACGCGCTGTGAACGTTGGTAAACCGGGGAAGTTGTCACTGGAAGATATTCATTACTTGATTCGACGAGATGCCAAAAAATTCGGTAGGGTGAAGGATTTATTGTCGATGAGCGAAGAACTGAAGAGGGCGCGGAAGCAGTTCGATGAAGCGAAAGCTATATGATCGAAGTGGTCTTGATTTTATTGTACATAGCCTCTCATCTTCGAATTTTATCAGGCGATCAACTAAAAATTCAACAGAGCATACATCCCGTAATCCTACTCCCAGAAGTCGGGTTTTGTCTCCTTCCCCTAGCTTCCCAAAAGAGAGAAAATTGGTATGAAGTTATTCTGATTGTCAGATTCGCTTTCGGCAGAATAGTTGGAATTCGGAATGGCTGCTTTGTTGCGGGCTTAATTCTGATGATTCATTTCTGTAATTTGATTTTGTGTTCCACTTTTTCGTATTGTTATATTCGTTGACATGATGAAAATCAAATTCTCAAGATGAAATAAAGTGTGCATCCCTCAGATACGTATTGTTGATAAAGTTCATGTCGATGACCGCTAAATTCAACTGTAAAAATTCGTCAAATCCAACTCACAACAACAGATGTTGGATTTGAAATCACTTATTATTGCTCATTCGTTTGCTTATTCAGGAGACAGAATATCTGATTTTTTGTTTCGTACGGTTACGTCTATAAGAAATCCATTGAGCTCTTCAACATGAAACTTCTCTTTGCTGTATTAACTGCTGATAGGTTGCAGCAACTGAAAGTGTCTGCATCTTGGCTTAAGAAATTTGCTCAAAGTGTAATCCAACGAGCCGAAATGAACTTCTGAAAATCCAGAATTTTCGAACTACAATTCAATATTAACTACGAGTTCGGCATTCAGATGATGTATTGATGCTATTTAGCATTGTGTTGTATTGTCTGCATCAACAGGTATTTTGAAAACGTATTATTTGCAAACGNAGAAAAATTCATACAAAGTCTTATAAAATGAAATTTGCAAACGAAGATAAAAGAACAAGGAAACGTAAGGCAGCCATGTATAGTAATCGACAATATCAAATATGAACTGAGCGTGTTCTCATCAGAATCAAGAAACATAATAATCAAAATTAAACAATAATAGTAATATTGAATGTTCAATCAAACACATAACAAATCGATTGCATTATTGATAAAAAATCAAATTAAACTAATTACTAAAATGAGCGAAATCATTAAGACTAGCGTTACTTAGAAGAGTTTGAAAAATTAAAAATGCGCGATGCATTCAACACAAACAAACAAACTTTAATGAAAACATTCAAATTTTTTCGCATAATAAAATGTAGGTTCCAGTCTACATTTAAAAATGAGTGGGATTGTTTATTCTGAAAGCATGTCCAGAGAGTGGAATCAGAAGGGAGAATACATCAAAAGATCTGAAACAGAACTGGAAGAGGATGATGGATGAAGCGATGGTGGAGAACTGAAGAGAATAGGTATGGGAAAAGGATTCCAGGGGGAGGAATATGAAAAAGCAGTCAGTAGTGACCAAATTGAAATTAGGAAAGTTTAGGAGGTTACCTGAAGGGATTTTTGTACTGTGGTTCTGCAGAGCACTTAGGAGATAAGAATGAAGAGAGCGTGGTGATAGTCATGGAAATGATTCCATTATTTAAAAAATTTAGTGATCATATTTCGTGTTGTCAGCAAAGACAGAAAACTCACTGATACATCACTGTATCGAGTAAAGTTTCTGATGCTGTCAAATGAATTCAATAACACGAAACAATAGTTTTGGCACAGAGATGTACACTGTACACATAATCTTTCGTTTGTTCGTGCATACAATTAATCAAGTAAATCATTTAATCAATCAGTCAACTTGGAAGCAATTGTTCATAACGTAATTTGTCATTTCAATCTGAAATCGCCACCAAAGTGAAACTTTCGTATAAGTGCAAGAAGAAGTATTCATTCCATGGACTCATGATCGAAAAGAATTTGGCAGAAGCTAGCAACAATGTTTTCGAATGCTCATTTCCTCATACACAAAACAGTTTCCAATGAGTGTTGCCGCTAAGTTTACGATTCTTGAAAAGGAGTTTCCCAACCATCTCATGAAATCCATTCAATAACCACAACAATGTTCCAAGCAAACGGATGATCATCAAAATGCTTCCAAATGACGATAGTACACGGAGTGACTCAAAAGTTACTATTCGATTCGTGCCAAAGTTAAGGTATTTTAACTAATGAGTCATTCTGTATTGTTTGTGCGTTTCCATTGATCAATTTATGCAGCTAACACGCAAAAATATCATATATGATAATTGATATTACATTCAAATATTCATGTAAACTTACATACTATCATCAAAGATGAAAAATTATCATTAATAACAGAATTGATCGATCAATCAATCAAACGTATTATCATCTACTGATCAGAAATTTGACCACATCGGTTTACGAATCCAACGTAAACGAAGACCACTGTTGGTTCGAATCTTGATGGATGCAGCTTCTGCCGCCCGGACGGTATCTTTGACAGATTGCATTAGATTCTGGGCGTTCAGTACGAGTTGCTGCATTGCCTCTTCATCTTCTTCACTTCCTAAAATAAATTCTTCGTTGAAACCATTCCCACGAATAATCGGATGCTCCTAATTAGTGAAGGTATGAAATGAATTTGTTAATTCCATGCACTATAGACTTGCTGATACACCTGCACGCCAAACCATTACGATATCATTATTAATATTATTATTGAATATAGCACTTGATTTCTAAAAAACTTTTAATATTTCTTATTTGAAGGATATTATTTTGCGTAGTTTCTATATCACATCACGATTGAATCACTACATTAGATCCGAAAAATCGAACTGCAATTGGATCTGATCTTCACAATCATTATTTTAGCAATACGATTCGAGTTTGACATGATAATATTTTTGGGATAGCAAGATGATTACTACTTCATGAAACACTTAAATGTTAAAGTAAAAATAATTGTACAGATGTTGTAGGAAAGTGGTTAATTGTGATACAATAAAAAGTGATAAAATATGAGGTATTTATTTATCAGGAACGGAAGAGGAATGTTAGATGTTTAATGAAAGGTTATTCGCAAGAATTGTGCTCGACAGGGTTGGTTATGTATGGTAAAACAATCATGCAATCAATCATTCATATTACCGTCTATTGGTTGGCCGTATGGTCCGACTGTTACTGAAAATTAGCATTGCCGTGTTTTTGTTCGATTGAGTTTCAGTTCTGTTTCTTACTATACAATGACTCTGATTCCTCCATACAATAAGGAATGAATTAATTTCTTGGCATTAAAACACAAAAATTCCATGTTGTTATCAAAATTTTCAGGTCGATCTAGAAGATCAACATCCTCCTTATTGATTCATTGTGATTAGATCATTCCCTTGCCAACAAATGGTTTTATAAGAGATCAGAAGCTTTACGGAAGCCTTCTAAGGAATATACTGCGATAATGAGAAAATGGCGTACCTTGCGAGCCAAGCATTGTTGCTTTGACTGTCGAAAGAATCTTCAGCTGAGTGGCTATCGTTGGAATTCGTTCACAAACTTGTAGTAAAGTCTGAAATTAATACTCGTGATAAACCATCGCTAAAAAGTTGTTAACGTTCATTCGTTATTCACTTGTTTTTACCCATGCGTCATTCATTACTGCCAATACAATACTGTATTCATATTGATTTGGACTCACAAAACTGATACGACTTTATCTGTGAGAAAACTAGATGAATGAAAATTTACCACTCTCATCTTGATATCCGTGCACTGTCTCGCCAGCTGTACGGCCAGTCTTGTCACCTCTTCACTTGAATCGGCAATTGCTTTCGCGCAGTCGATCAAATCCCTCTTGTTACCACCCTCCCCTCGAACCAACTGACTCAAACGTGCCATCAAAATAGCCATACGCTTAGCTGCCGCAACTATATCGTTTTCATGTGATGACCACTGTCTCAGTTCCTCATGGAGATTATGCGCAGCGCTTAATATGGGTTGATTCGTGGCTCCGGGCAGTGGGTAACGTTCCCAGAAGGCGCGTGTTTCTTCTTCATCGTCAGTCTCCGGAGGCAACGGTGGTCGGGGAGGAGGACTTATTTCGACAGGTGGTGGCGGACGAGGTGGAGCAGGGATCTCCTCACGGATCACGAAACGATCATGCGTAACGGGCGAGACCGGAGGACGCGGCGCAACCGATTCGAGTAAAATCGTTTGATTCGGGGTTGAGATGGACGGCTGTCCGCTTATCGCATCACCAACTTGACGAACACGTTGGAGCAGAGAATCGTTAGCATCACGCCAATTTTGAGCGTTTCCTTGATGATACGGATTGAGTGCAACTTGTTTTGCATGGTTGACCATTGGTGGAATTGCTGAAAAAACTTTTCTTCATCTTTGAATTCATTTGCTTTGAACCTTCGGAATGAAATTTGAGGATTTTTGAACTCTAACTGAATATTTCCAATAAATCTCATTCCCAAATCAGAATTCAATGAAACGTGAAACTGTTGATACTTCTTTGGAAATAATGATCTAGCGAAAGTTCAGATTTACAGCAGAAAGTTATGCGAATGTTCATGAAATGGAAATAAAAGTTTCATGTTCCATTCAAAACAATCAGTATGATTTTCATGAACAACAATCACTAGTCAGTGAACAAACCCGAATGCAATTGTTGCGCGGCATTATTGACTCTGTCGACGAAATTCGGTTCTTCCGAGTTGTCAGCCTCATTTTTGGCCGTCATCAGCACACGATTACCGAGTCTCGCGATTTGTGACGTATTATCGACCATATTCTGCGGTTCATTCGCTTGTATCGCATTCTCGCAGTTGTTCGTATAGCGTCGCATTGCATCTTCCGATGCACGAATGAAGTCTGCCGTATCGATCGCGTCGTCAACATTCGATCGAAGACGCGTCAACGCATCCGAGAATTCACGCCGAAGATTCTCGAAATGTTGTGTGACAGTCTCTGAATCGTTATGCAGTCGGATCTTGCCCGCATTTATCATCTGAGGAGTCATCGCGTTTACCTGAAATTGTTTCAGTTATATATTGCCATTTGAATTACTTAATGATGAATTCTTATCATAACTTATAAGAGATGATCAACTCATTCGTTGATCAAACAACAGTGGCGCCCTTCGTTGTCATTTCCATTAACTCCTTTATCATGGCTCTATGTCAAGCTCATATCGAGCATATTCAATCAAATTTCTTGTACAAAACAGCAACACATTTCCCAAAAGGCGTACTTTTTTGCATTCACTGACAAGTTGAGATATTATTGTCAACACGAAAATATGGAGAATAACAGACCGAGAATAATACAATAGGAGGCAACAAGTGGGAATCAATAATAGCAATGATACGGTACAACTGAATGCTGACTACATGAAACTTGAAATAACCAAATGATAAGAAAGTGAAAGAATAACTGACATGGTTGGCAGTGTCAATGATTGCCTCAACGGTTTTCTTGTTCTTACAAGGACCGCATTTGGCAACCATGAGCGCTGTGGACGTGCATTTGGCTGTGTGTTCGTCGAGATTGACTGCCTTATCCTCGAAGTTACGTTCACGATTCGGCATGTTGAACGGTGCGTAGACAGCATCAACAAACTGCTTCAGCGGTGTGCTTATGTCGGCAAAATCTTCGACAACCTGAAACTTAGCTTTTCGACTATATCATTTTGATTATTATCGTTATCGCAATATATCTTCTCATGACTGACTTAATCTTTCAGTTCATTCGTATCAAACTTTTTTGTGGTTTCATTTTGAAATATCTCGACGTAAAGCATTGCAGTTGAAAGGTTTGGGTTGACCAAAATTGATTGGTTGTTCAGAGTATCCGAAGGTATTCCTCCAGTTTATCCATCAGTAATCTAGTGTCGAATGAAAATTTAGAGATCAGCTAGCTTGAACCAGTAGACAATAAGCTTGTGCCTTAAATTAGATCTATTCACGCCATTCTGAACATACTATTAAACGACCTTATCCGTGAGCATTTTCTTCATGAAGTCGGCGAGTTCTCGAAGTTTATTCCTCAGTTGGTTACGGATCGCATTCGCTTCAGGTGTATTTCCAAGACCGCGACGCTCCAGGTCAGCCAGTTGATTTGCAAGTCTATCAACATCTGCGCAAAGACCGAGCAGGCGAGCTCGTTCGGCTGGTGGCAACAGATCGGCCAACTTCCTGCCCTCATCGGTCATTGCTTTGACAGCTTGTAAACCTGAAAAGACGATATATTCAATGTGACTTTCTTAATATCTTCTTGAAGAACTAATGCGTCAGGTGGGGGAGCTGAAGCGTAATGCTACCAGAATGCTGAATTCTAAAACTTCCAGATATTCAATTTGAACTACAAACAGAATTTCCTGGTCTGAATTATCATACCGCATACGATTTTATGAAATACCTCAATGACTACTGCTTTGAAAAGCTTGAAATGAAAAGAAAATTGAGTGAAAAATCTCAAAATTTCATTCTAATTGTAAGGTTGCGAAAAAACGGAAATTGATCTCTTCTCAGACACCAAAACAACTCACCAAGCCCATTGTCATCCACACCGGGATTGTCCAGCCATCGCATTGCTTGTTCCAAACGTCCTGCTACCGTAGGTGCCGGATGCGCCCCGCCGGTACGTTGAGTGTTCTCGAGAGCACCCGGCAAGAGACCAGATATTTCTTTGGTACCAACTAACTCTTTCAGTTTACTCGCACAACCAGCTGCCAACGCGGCATTATCTCCACCCGTATTGCGGATCTCACAAATCGAATCGGTCATCGAGCATATATCACTAACGGCGCGACGAATCGTTCTCGAGTCTTCGGGCAATGCCCGTGCCGCAATTCGTTCCGCATACTCCGCGATACGACGGATCGACTTCTCACCAATCGCACCAGGACGTCCACGCGGATCTGCCAACCAATCAAGTGCGGCCGTTAGTAAAGACTGTGCGGCACTCAACGCTTTACGCATTACCGTAACATTGTCACTGTCCCACTCATCCTCGTCGTATGTGGTCAGTTGGAGAACACGAATGATTTCGTTCATTTCATCGATCATTCGTTGCGAAAGATAATTTCGATTCTCGGCAGCTTCTTGCTGACCGCGTTGTGACTGTTCGGTGATCTGGGTGAAGATTTTCATGGCGCATATCATGATTGGCGAGAGTGTTTTGATAGTGTCCATACATCTGATTAATATTTCACGATGCACTTGATGGGTCAGTTCCTTCTCTCGTCCATCGACATCGCGTGCAACACGAGTCAACCATGGGCTGATATCCTGCAATTTTTATTGACTTTGACGAGATGACTGATTCTCTGGCTGATTACTTTTGTAAATACAATGGGCCAACTAAGAGTTTCTCACCATCGAATTTTGCTTTGAATTAATTTTTCGGAAACATTCCAAACATTAACACTGATTAGAAAAATGCCTTGACACCATAAAAAACGATCGCAAGATTATGGTCAAACAATTGAGTCTACCTTGACGAACTGCGCCAAATCGTCCATACTTTCGATGACCTCAGTGACTGCCAGATAGTCGAGTACCTTACGGCATCCGCGGATGATTTTTCTCACTTCTGATTCGTCGAAGCAAAGCAACAAAGCAGATGTTCCTTGCAAGATACCACGTGCACCTTCGATCAATTTCTTCCGGGCCGGTCCTGAGTAGGGATCTGATTTGAGCATATGACACGCATCTTCCAGAAGACGTGAGCTAGCCTCAACTCTTTGAAGAGCTGGTGGCATATCATCTTGCAGGATGCGATCGTCTGATGAATGGCAAGTATCGTAACCGACCTGCAATAGGTACCAAAATGCATCACGAACTGATTGGTCACAGCTCATCGGGTCAAAGCTCCGATATATATTGTGAAGTTGTATTTTGTTATGATCTGGTACTCTCTTATCATTCAACAGAGTACGTTTTNACAGCGAATATTTTCGCTGTTTCATTATTTACTAGCACGATCAATGATTTTTTCATAGTTTCTAGGTGGTCATCATTTTTATGACTCAGGAAGTGTTGAATCTATGAGTTAACTAAACGTATATCTTATCTTCCTTCAGTCTCCACAGATCACTCGCAATCCTATCGGAAGTGATTAAATGTGATGCGCATTCAATTTATTCCAGGACAGAGAGTTGTTGATTCATTCGCAAAGGTTCAAAGAAGTTAACGATCCATTTTGCGTTATAGTAAATGAACAACAACGTTCATATTACGCTTTAATCGCTTGCACTGCACAAACGAGATCTTGAACAGTCATATTACAACGTATGGATGTAAGAAGGAACTTAACTTCGATCACTGAAAACGATGCATTTTGGAATGTTATCAACATCGCAAAACGGTACATAAAACAAGATTTATATCCACTGTTTAAATTGTCATCATATTGATAGTTTCAACTTTCTTCAATTAATTTGTTACTCTTTCAATCCGTTCATTTGACCTACATCGCGAAACAAAAGAGAGAGAGTGAATGTTGGTGTAAACGTTCACTGAACGTCCCCCGAGGCAAGTAATTTTAAGTCTACGAATGGCTAACATTCACGTAGATCAAATCGACGATCGCTGGAAAAGATTCGACGCAACATCGACTGAGCAGATGATGCAGTGTGTTTTGTCACATTTATACGAAAACCTACACGCTTTCAACATATATGAATGCGACAAGTTATTTCCAGATCAACTTCATCATCAACTAATAGAACTACTTTAATGTTTTCTCAGCAATAAACATTTTCACATTGAAATCTCATGTTCGTCACTTCCAAGAACATGTGTTTTATCAGTAAAATTAGCTTCTCGAACATGCACTGAATGACGGATCGATCCGTGTTGAAATTATGCATCATCACTGGGAAACTCTCAAAATCTCAGTGCTATTTTCAAAATTTTACTCGAAATTTCTATTTGCATTCAGATTTCACATTTGCGATTCGATTTGTTTGAGAAGAGAAATGTTGAAGTAATTCATTTTCGTGGGAACTGTTTCGTCTTATTTCTCACAAAAGTATGACTGCTTTAAAAACAAAGCTTCCGAACAGAATAAACAATCTGCAAGGAATTTTTTTCAGAAAAAAAAAAGAAACGATCAACTCAATATGACTGATGATCAATGTGAAAAAATACATGCCAAAGATATGTCTGCTAATAAAATGGCAGTGTAAAATTTCAGTTGATGCTGACTCATTTTTTCGAAATATGTTCAACATGCTCCAACTTC